TATAAATACCACAAATGGTTGACTTCTCGATGAGTGCGGCCGCGTTGGACAGCACTTCCAGCGGTGATGTGTTGGCAGACATCATGCCATGGGTTGTCATATTCCTCGCGAGTGTAATATACAAGACATTGATTGTGAAACTCAACTTTAATCACACAAAACACTACACATACTGTACTGACGAGTGTATTGTCTGTGTGTTTACAGCGCTGCCAATGCACTACATTAGTCACGCGGGACAGCACACAGACTACGTACGAAACATTATCATTGGTACCCAAAAAATGTTAGCTATATATTATTGCAATCAAAAGTGATCAGGGTCGTAATTATTAACTCGTTCAATTTTTTGAGATAATTTTAACTCTAACCAAATCACCATGTTACGTTATTATTGGCGTAACTTAATTGATAATGTTCAAGTTTTGTAAGTTTACACGTTTATATTGCTATTATTAAAGCCCACCCTACCCCTATTTATTGGGTAACAGTTGTTGTGTACGGTGCACACATTCCATCAGAAACATTCCTGAGCAAATATATGATTGGTATGTGTCGTAAGTATTATACATATAATTTGGACCTTTTTATTGTTACATTAAGTATAGATACTATTGCTATGCATTATAACATATAATAGTACCAAACCTTTGCCATTGAGTTACGCCTTTATGTGGCGCTCACTTCTGATTGGGTTTTGCCCGTCAAATATTTTCTTTGGGCAACATTCGTCCATAGAGTACGTGACAATTATAATACACTTTTTTAGACCCCTTGTATTAATATTCCTATAATATTCATAGACTATAATAAAACACATAAAAGTACGTAATTTACGGACACATTTTGTTTGGCATTTAAATGAATGTATGAGTCAAATAGACTGTTACGAAATAACATTGCTTTACAGCACCCCTTCGCCCCCAACACATACATTACTATACACTATAGTTTACTAACCCCTCAATATTTATACCCCACGTAATGGGCGGGTGTTATAGCATATAAGAGTGAGCCCTCACGCTATGTATTGATGTATTGAATGAAAACATAACGTTATATAACGACAAACACCACAACAAAAACAGATGACAACAACTCCAGTGATAATAACTCAAGACATAAACATCACTGCAATAGATCTCGTCATCGCATATATAGTGATCGCATAGTGTGTGTCTCAACCCGTCATCTGATCCAAAGCTGTAATGACTTAACGCATCGTAAACCTGAAGAGCACTCCCGATGGCCAACATTTACCACCACTGCTACCACTCTTAAGACATCTCACAAGACAACACCCCATCTCTCTCTCTCTCTCTTAAACATCACTGACAGCTGATCCACACATTCGTGATGAACGGTCTGCGAGAGTCTGATTACGTGGACGGTATGTGTGTCATAGCGATCACCAATAGCTGATCCCATTAGTTATAACATGTAATCCTATTATCATAAACAGCGCTGAAGACGTACCAGAGGTCGCGCTTAGAGCACATGCGGTCTGAGGCGACGAATATGCGGCTGTATTTGGACACTCTTCGGGCCAAAGTGGCCGCTCTGGAGACGCAGCGCACGCGACGGCGCCGCCTATCGGTGGGCGACGATATCGGCGGCGATTTAGTGGTCACTTGTCGTCAACTGCGGACCGACAACCTTCAGCTCCACATCGACTGTCACTGTATGACCATTGAAGTGGATCTGTACGCGTCCGGCCGTATGCCACTCGGCGTCACCGACGAGAGCTTTTTCCGCCATTTGCACGTTCTTCGGGCCAACGGTTTGCCATTTTTGGCGCCCAATCAACGCCATAACCACCCGATGCCGGGCCAGTACGTGGCCACAGGCGCCGCCGCACCACCGGTGCCCCAACGGCCGTATCCGGTGCAGCACATGCCTACCACTCGGTATACCCACCCCTTGCATACCGTGCGCTACTCTTACCAACAGGTCTACTGTCCGTCGTTGGCACTCACGAGCGGCCGCTTCGCCAGCGGTTACGGCGCCGGCGGTAGTGGCGGACAGTTGTTATCACAGGTGCCGCCAACACCTATAAACGGTGGTCACCGACTGCTGCCCCGAACGCCATCACCGCATAGTAGGCCCCGATCGCCGTTACCCGCGTCTAGTGGTGTGCCGTCTCTGCCGCCACCCCTACCGCCGCGCGGCTCCCCTCGACCCGTGAGATCGGCGCCCGAACCGCGCGTTTCCATCACCGCTCCTGACGTCGCCGACAGTATCGCCGGACTGACCGTCGATGACGACGAAGAGGACGGCCAGCGATGGGTGTGTCCGAAGTGTACGGTCGAGAATCACTCGGCCCTCACCTACTGTGAAGTGTGCGAATTGCCCCGCAATGTGCGGCTCAT